TCAATTAGGGTGCTGTATAGCCATGCAACGCATAGAACCGAGTAAAATTGGAACCCAGTCAGAAAAATAACTGTCCATTTGCACCAGTCGTCACCTTCCTCGTTGCCTTCTCGAGAACTTTTTGGACCAGCGAAGCGTCGGAACAGTCGGTCTGAAGTAAAGACAAGAATTGCGATTGCTACGATGAGGCTGGTAACCATGAAACCACGTGCAGCTCGGATCCTGTGATCGAAAGAGTTGAGATAATTGTCGGTATCACCCATATTACTCGGAATGTAGTGCTCGCGACTGGTCCATATACCGAATGACTGACTAGTGCTGTCGTCCGGTGGAATTTTAAGAACAGATAATTTGAAATAATGAGAGTAGAGAATACTAGTTTTACAAGGCACCTGGGAGATTATAAGAAAAATAAGAACAATAATTTGGGCTGAAAATGAGAACCAAGCTTCGAAACAATCGAAAGCTCCCATTTTGTTGCAAGGTTTGTTGAACTTTCTGGAGATATCTTTTGCTCGCTTTCTGATTTATTGCGGGTTACTTAAGAAATCATATATAGTGTGACCAGTTTTGTGATATTTATGAACACAATAAATCAAAATGTGAAAAAATTATTCGCATATTTAAGGTCGACCTAGTTAATAATTTTAAATTCACGTAATACGAACGTTGTCATAGTTTTGAAATAGAGAATGGCCAAAAGGTATACTGCCCGCTCGAACATAAGTAGAATATGCGCTACGCTTTCATACCGCTGATTTCCAAGAATTTCTTTGTGCGTTTTCAATTTTTTAAGTCAAACGAGGTCCATTTTTATTTCTTTGATTCAATCGTTGTTAGTTTTCGAAATGTTTCGACCGTGTTTGATTTTTTAGACTCTACCTGACATCGTTCGAATTTTCTCACTAGTTTTCGACTTTCTCCAAATTTTTGAAATATTAATGCGCCTTTGAATTCATTTCCAAAATTTGAAAAAATTGAACTGAAACAAGTGTACCTGAGTTTGTTCTGTTAACACATAACCTTAGAACCGTGCTACCCGGGTGGAGATCCTCGGCTTATGTTTAGATTTTCTGGACCAAAACTGTTATTTTTCGATTTTTCTGACCACAGTCTGGTATATTTCAACTTTCCCAAACAAATTTTGTTATGTTTCGACTTGGCTCGACCCAGTTCAAATATTTGGACTCTCTGGACCAGTATTTGCTGTTTCGACTGCCACAATTTCAATTTTTTTTCGAATCCTTGTTCGATCGAGCTCCGATATTTTTTACTTGATCAAAAAATGGATGTTTTGATTGTCTTGATTTTTTCGGCCTAAAATCTTTGTCTCAGCGTTTTTGTGGAAAATTTTTCTTAGTTCTCAAGAGTTAGCTTTGAATGAGATTCAGTTGTCATATGCAGGTTAGGTGATTAGCGGTTCGAAAACACAACTATGAATGTTTTGTTTTGCTAACGGTAGCCAAAACCTGCTATCAAAAAATAATGTGTCGGCAAAAACAATTTACAAATCTTAACTGAGCCCGATCTCTGTTTTGACTGTGCTCTACCCATGTTCCGGCTCTGCCCAACCTATGCCTGTGACTTTTATTAGCAACCATGTTTGCGACCAATTAGAGAATTGAGATTTGTGTATTCACCGACTCGATCAAACATTTTCGACAGTCTCGACACATGCTTGGTATGTTTCGACAGTTTCAATCGGAGTAATCTAGGCTTAGACCATATACGATTGGAAAAAAAAATGTTAAATCGTGTTTGATCGAGCAAAAACATTTCGACCGTGTTTGATCAAAAAAATATTTTGACAAAGCTTCATTGTGTCCATTATTCAACCTATGATTCAAACCTGCTCGACCCTTATTTCGATTTTATTTGACCTATGATTTAACTTAGTTCGACCCATAATTCGACCTTGTTTGACTCATGATTGGAAAAGTGTCAATGAACTCAAAAAAATTGCAAAAAAAAGATAAAATCTGAAATCTATTTTAATCATTTTTTTGTTAATACAGAGCAGCGTACTTTCTTTTTGTTTGGCCACATGAGCCGACAAAATAATAGCTTGAGCGCAGTAGCGGATTAAGGGGGGGGGTGGACGTTTTTTCTCATCAGGGGTTCGAACCCCTGACGACCCAAAGTGTCCCACTTTGTACTAATTTGAGATATCCATGTTTACCTGTGGCTGAGTGACGCTAAAACTTTTTTAAGGGCGCCAATATATACTAATTTTGAGAGGAGAGCGCAACGGAAACAACGCAATTTTTTGGTCAAAAGTTTCCAAAAATTGCTTAAAACGCTATTTTGGCCTATTTTTTTCAAAAAAGAGTCTTTTTAGTGATTTGGGTGCGCTCGAAGAATCAATTTAGTCGATCTAAAAAAAGGTCGACAAACCTCATTTGATCCTCCCTCGAGAAATTCCTAGATCGGCACCTGCTTTAGCGTGAACAAAATTTTGAGCGTGATCAGAAATTACTACCCTGCCTAAACCAATTATTCGCTTAATTAGTTGAAAATTGAAGATATGACATGGTATGAAGTATATTATTTTTTGTAAATGATTTATGATTACAAAGAAAGAATAAAAATTTAAACTAAAACAAAAATTGAACGTATTGTAAGACCATCTTGAGAAAAAAAAACACGAAATTAATCAGTGGAAGTTTACTCCGTTGATCAACACGTAATAATCTAGGATAAACAAGTGTGACACAACACTCTAGGCGTAAGTCATTTGAGAAGCAAAAACGCAAAGATAACGGTAACTAGGGTCGCTTCAAAAATTATTGAAACTGACTCAAAGTCCCAAAATGTTAAGGAACTCCTATATTTTCTTATAGAATCGTTCATCAACATACAAAAAGACACAATTTTGCAAGTAATGAATTGTAAATAGTTATGCATTTAAAAAATTGTTATATTGAGTTCGAAATTTTCTGAAACCAAGTTTTTATTATTTGTTATGTTGTTTGAAACAAAAAGCTTTTTTCGTTTTATTTGATGAGTTAAAAATGCATCAACTACGTAAACTTGTTACTCTTCGATTTTCAAAGCACATGGTATCAATAAGCTGTAAAGATGTTTCAAAAGTGGCGCCTATATTTGCGACTGAGGTTGGAAAAAAACGCGTACTTACAGACTTTGCTTCGCAAGTGTAATAAAATGATGAACAATTAAGCTAAAAAGGGAAAAAAAGCTGATTAAGTTAAATTGTTCAACTCAAAAAACTTTAAGCAATTAAATTTAAATTTAGGACTTTTCTAATGAAAAAAAAACTTTGTTTGAATGAAGACATTTCTCTTGAGCAGAAAAAAATTGAACAAGTTAAGCTACAATAAAAGCAATCAAACACAATTTAAAAAACCGTTTCTAAAATGGAAAAAGATTAAAGCTTTCTGTTTTTAACAACCTGTGATTAATAATCATGACTTGGGTGTATACTGGTGTCCATATATAAAATTTTTTGTTTTTTACTAAGATTTAAGCAATCACTATGTAATTGTGAATGCCATTTCTTGAAGATATCTCAATTTAAAGTTTATTTCAAAAAATTAACGCTCCTAAAGCTCATTGAATTTCTAAATCAGGTAATGATTTATAGTTTTTACTCAATTAACCCAGTTTGGGAAACTGGATCTTAAAGTAAAGTTTTTATTCCACTGAAAAATCTGAAAATTAAATTCTACATGCGAACTAGAAATTCATCACATTTTTCCTGACCTTTACATAATTGCTGTCGATAGTGGAGTTGCCTTTTTTAAACACTGATATGAACTGATTTTAAAATGAAATCAGAAGTCAAACCGTGAAAAAAAATTTGAGCCTGAAAAAAGTTTAGGACTTTTTCTGAGAGGGGCAAACAAAAAATCGTCAGCACCAGTATAATAGTCTTAATTACGTTCGTCGTTTCTTAAAAACCAGTTAGCCTCAAAGCCCGCTGAATTTCCGGAAAAATGTATGATTGACACTTTTTGCTACAAGTTACTTAAATTTTAAAAACAGGACATTTGGATGAATAATTTTTATCAGGCTGGAAAATCTGAAATGAAATCCATTTTCGTATCAAGAAGTCAATTGCTTCAAACTTTTGGCAATCGGTCGTAAAGTTAGCCTTCTTTTGCTCAAAAAAAATGAATTTTAATTAAAATAAAAACAACTAAGATAAGGCCGCGAAAAATTATAGTTGCGCGTAAACTATTTTTAAAACTATCCTGAAAATAATGAATTAGACACAACAAAGCATCAAGACCTGTATATGTGTGTCTTAACTACGTTCATTGACTTTTAAAAAGCATTAAAACCTTCACCAGTTTCGCAACAGAGTTTCTCCGTATAGAGCCGAACAGCTTGTAAATCGTTTTAACGTTATTTGCAACAATCCGCTTGACTCAAGTTATGTTTGAACTATTTTGGAGCCGAATTTAAAGGCGGCGGTGGCTACGCGTTGATAGAAATATTGCACGCATTAGTTGTCTTCAAATTGTTATAAAAATATTCTTAAAAAAATTATTTTTTGCTTTTGAGGAACAATGTTGTCGAAAACGGTTAATTTGAAATAGCTTTTTTTTCAGGAAAATTTAGCTACCCGGAGCACTAATGATCGAAAGTTTTCCCTCGTGTCTAAATTTTTTTCCAGTATTGAAGCGATCCGGCTTCAAATCTGGGAACTTTTTTAGGCTGTATTTCCAAGCCAGAACAAATCGCCGCATGCCGTACACTTTAATAGAAAGATTTCTCGTCCTTAAATTTAATTTATCTGATACTTTTGAAACAATCACACTTGTCTTCTTAGTTTCGAGCTTGCAAAATCAATACCTTCTAAATGGTTAAATTATAAAAAAAACCAACCCGAGCACAAATATTCAAATGTAGTAACAACTAATTTGGAGTCCTATTCAAAAGTTGAAGCCCTAGTCTATGAATCTCATACTGTCGAAGGAATTGAAGAAATCAAATGTAAAAATGAATTCCAAACAAAATTAACACAGAGGTTCAATTGAAAAGAATTCAATACAACTGATATGTAAAACGCTTAAACAATAAATAATTCAAGGTAAGTAACACAAGATAAAAACTTAGTTAAGCCGAGCAAATATTGAGCACATTAAGAACAAAAAGAAAGTTTCTGCAATTATTCTGCCATCAAAATTTTTATATCAAGAATTTCATAATGAGCCTGATAACTTAATCGTGTTTTTAAAGGAGAGCCCTAACTTAGATTGAATTGTATTAAAATGGTCAAAATTTCAAAAGAATGCGCATTTACAATTGCAAACAAAAATCGCTTCAGATAGCCTTTAAATCAGAATTGAGGCAAATATTTCATTAAATTTACAATTTTAATTCTAAGTTCTGTTTATGTTAATTAAGATTACTGCACTGAAACTCCTTGTGCACTAGTTTTGTCTAATTTGTAAGTCTATCTACACTAAAATGACCCAAAGCTCTGATGCAATTAAGTTTTAGTCAAGGGGTTGGTTAATCAGTTTTTACCATCTTTCAAAACAAAACCTCTGCGATCAAGTTTTTTCAACATTTTTAGACATTCCGTTATTACTTCGGAGCAACCAAGAGAGTTCATATCTCTTCCAGGGTTTCATTGCTTGCTGCATGTGACAGGCTAATAGAAGCCGGTTGTTCTGAATCGTCATTTGTACCTGTAACAAACCAACCGTTCTGTACAAACTGTGCCCAAATTAGTCATGCATTGACCAGGCTCAAACTTAAGCTCCCGAAAAATACGATTCTGAAAATACAAACTGTTGGTGATATCTTCGTCAATCAAATAGCTCAATTTTCTGTTGAAGCTCAATTTTCGACTAATTCAAGCACGAAAAACGATGTCAAAAATGGATCAATGAAGATGCTCAAGATCTTCGATATTGCCGATTCTTCCCGGGTTTCAATTAATCGGCAAGATCTCCGATAGTGCCGACAATTTAATTATAGATTTAGCTTCGTAACAACTATGCCTTATTGCATTGACCAAGAGCAGCTCAAGGGCTTTTTACTACTTGGTTGTTTATTACTTACCCTCAGAAGGAAAGTCATCTTGCGTGTTCTGCATGTCGTTGTAACTGACAGTGGCTGAGATAGAAGTGGTGTCGGAGGAACTGCCTGTCTGAGTGAGGTCTGTGTTTGAGAGTTGCTGCTGGAAGATGTTGACCAACATGCCAGAATAGTGTTGTAGTAGGTTCATCACAGCTGCGTTGTCTGTCACACTCGAACCACTCAACAGGTTCCGCGAAGCCTAAACAGGTGTTAAAAATAGGAAATCTTCAGTAAACCAAGAGCGTTGAATATACAAATAATGAAGATGATCACAGTAAAAAAATCAACACAGGCGAAGCTGCACTTCACAACACAAGCTAGAAAAGGGAAAAAATAGCACCATAAAAGACAAAAAGAAAAAAAGCCACCATAAAAAATCTGCTGTACCGGAATTGAACCCACGGTCTGGAAATTAAAAATCAAACCTCCTAGCATCTCTTTTGCAGGAAAGGCTACATCTCCGTTTGATTAATTTTTTTCTTCAGAATAAGCACGGTATTTTCGGGAAACATTTCTCAAGTCCATTGCTGATTCCTTAATAAAATTGGAAAAACCGCTCATGCAGGGGAAAACATTACAGCTGGTTTTTACGACTGAACCAATATTCTCAGATTTTCCAACGTGTTTTCGAGAAGTCAAAAACTTCCAAACAAACAATTATTTGCTCAGTCCAACATTGCTTTTCTACAAACATAGCCAACTGCCAGTTGGAAAAAAGTAATGAACGAAAAAAAAACAGAAAACATAGCCAACAGAAAGTTTGAAAAAAAAACGGCAATGAACGCAAGTAAACGGAAAAAAATCTAACTTCTTTTGTGAAAAATCTCAATTTCGAACTTCCAAGAAAAAATAGATACCCTTAAAGCTCTTTGAATTTCTGGCAAAAATTATAATTGGCCTTTTTTGATAAACTTAACCCAATTTGAGAAACAAGTAAAATTTTTATTTCGATGGGAAATTTGAAAATTATATTCAACTTTCGAAACTTAAAGTCGATCAAGTTTTTCGTGACTTTCACTCTTTAGCTGTTCGGCCGCGGAGTTTGTTTTCATTTTGACAATGGAAATGAACTGAGCTTAAAAAGAAATCAAAAATCAAACCGCCAAAAATCAAAATTGAGCGTGAACAAATTTTAGGAATTTTTCCTACAAAAAGCACAAAAAATTACGAAAAACTATAAAAGAGTCTTCATTAAGTTCATTACGCTTAATAATTAGGTCTTAGTCGCTATGAAGAGAAACTTCCTAGAGCACGTTTTTCGATTGAACCCTTAATCTTAGATTTAGCAAGGTAGTTTTCGAGAAAAGTAAAAAAAATGCTAACAGACAGTTGGAAACATCAAGGAACCAGAGAAAGACTGACGTGTTTCGAATTCACAGTAAAAACATGTCCCTAAAGCTTTTTGGATTTGAAAAGGAATTTAGCATTGACACTTTTGTGATGAAAACCAATTCAATTTAAAAAACTGCAAATTCTGCTTTTTCGAATTGTCCGCAGGGTAGTTTTCGAGAAAAAAAATCCAAAAAACGGTCAAAAATTCGCAATTTGAACACTTAAGGCCAAAACTCTTTTTCTACCAAAATTAGGGCGTAGCAGCTCATGCAGGGAGATACCCAAAACACGCTTTTTTAATTGAACCCGTTCTCTTAGATGTCTTAGAAGTTTTGAGAAAATGATCACAGCCAACTGACAGTTGGAAAAGAGTAAAGAACGCAAGGAAACTAAAAAAAAAACGATTTGTTTTTTCAAAAATCTTCAACTTTAGAATTTCGAAAAAATAGATGGCCTTAAAGCACTTTGAATTTGTAGAACAATTTATTATGGAGACTTTTTTGTTAAATTTAACCCAATTTGAGAAAACTGGATCAATGTGTAAAACTTTTAATTCACTGGAAAATCTGATAATTAATTTCCTTTTTCGAAATTAGAAGTCGATCACGTTTTTCGAGACCTTTACAATTTTTCTGCTCGATAGTGGAGTTTTCCTTCTTTTTTAACAAAAAAAAAACGGCCTTGAAATTAAAAAGAAATCACGAGTCAAACCGCGAAAAATCAAAATTGAGCATGAACAAATTTTAGGACTTTTCCTAAAAAAAAATTAGCAAGACCTATGTAAGAGTACTCACTACGTTCATTGCTCTTAAAAATAATTCAAAAAAATGGGTTAATTACTTCCCCTAACGGAAGTTTTTGAAGGTGTAGTGAAAAAAGACTAGCTGAATACCCAGGCACACAGTGGAGTAGCCGGTCTCCCGATTGGTACCGCAGTTCTCTCATATCACATACATTTTCTTAACCTAAGTCACATACATTTTCAAAATACCTGTTTTTTAATCAAACCGGAAATAGCAACCAATAAACAAGATACAAAAATTTGATGCTGTGGAGCAAAAGTTAACCAGATATAAAATAAAATTAGTGTGTTAAAAAAGTGGATACCGTAATAAGACACTAGCTGCGCATGTGTAACAATTAAATTCGTTAGAAAACGCTGCCAATTACTTAAGAACTGTTTATAATTTCCACGTTTGTCCTGACTAAATCTTCCAGTCTCGAAGTTTGTGACCTTACCGTGTTGTTAGGTGAGGGGAAGTTGAACTTGTTTTTGAGCTGTTGTAGATCGTGTTCTGCCAGCTGTTGGTAAGTGCCGCTGGGTATCATGCCATTGGATAGCATTGTGTGAGATATTTGAGAACAGGTGTCTCTTAACAGCTGCACTATCTCATCCTTTTCCTCGCTGTCCTCGGCCTAGAAACAGGATAACGATAACACACGTCCACTTTGATTGATATTCTCTAAATGGCATAAAACCAAGCTTCAGAATGTTTAAAATATCTAATTCATCGCTAAGACAGTATACTCGGATAACTTGAACATCTCAAGGTCAACAACATTGCCACCAAACTCTCGGCAAAAGAATGAAGATGAAGGCAACTCTTTCGTTAAAAATTGCAGTAAAAAAAATCACATATTTAAGACCAAATGAAGCGTTGTACTTTATCAAAAAAGTAGCGACCATTTGAAAAATGATAACAAGGATAGCTTGTTGCTGTGCACGTAGCACAGAATGTTCCGACCACACTCATAAAAAAGTTTTTTCTATTATTATTTTTCAATTTAGTGCCATTTATTGTAGGTGGTGCGACGATAGAACTATGCAAAAGCATATAAAATTACCAAAATAGGCAAAGTTAACAACAGTTTTCTTTAAAAAATGAAAAACAACTAAAAACAAAGCCAGCTGACTGTTGGAAAAGAGTAAAAAACGCAAAGAAGCAAAAAAAAAACAACTGACTTATTTTTTGAAAAAAAATCAGCTTTCGAATTTCAGAGAAAAAAATAGATGGCCTTAAACCTCTTTGAATTTCTAGAACTCATAAATGACAAATTTTTTCATAAAATTAACCCAATTTGAGAAAACTGGATCACTAGATCAAGAATTTATTTTGCTGGGAAATTTGATAATTAAATCACACTTTCCAAACTAGAAGTGGATCACGCTTTTCGTGACATTACACTTTTGCTGTTCAATAGTGGAGTTTATCTTCCTTTTAACAATGGAAATCACAAGTCAAAACCGCGAAATGTCAAATTTCGACATGAACAAATTTTCAAATGTTTTCCGTTTTTGCAATGTTTTAAGATTTCTAGAAAATTTTATTGCCACGGAAGCGCTAAATGAAGCTTCCACAACTAGTTTTTCTTTCAGTAAAATATCGCTTTTCTAGATTAGCTGACCAATTTCATTAATTTTCATAAAACGAATGTTACTCGGTCGCGTTACTCGCTCGAAATTGGACTAAATCTCAAAAATGTCGAGAAAAACTGGTTTGAGTTTGAAATTTTTGAGACATATTGCAATTGCTTTTCAATACTTGAACAACTTTTTGAAAATTTTTTTATCTTGTTAAAATCACGAATGAAAAACTTTATTATGATATTTCGAACAATTCACACTTTTTTCCAACTGTCATTTGACTAGCTTTTTCTAAGCTAAATCGCAAATAAAAGTGTTCATTGAAAGTGTTCATTTATATAGAAATTTCACTGTAGCATTGTATATTGCATAGCATCTGTTCTCTGTTTTATTTGTTGCTAGTTTTTGCTATAAATAAGCGTGAGTGGTGAGTGCATGAAACTCATAATCTGTGGGTCGCAGTAGGTTCGATTCAGAGTTGTAGCAGAATTTTTACTAATTCGGGGCTTATTTCTGCTTTTACCTTCTGCACTGTATAGAGATGCTTTTTGTCATTTTCTCGCTAAAGTTTGCGAAGCACAGCTTCGCCTCTGTGTAATGAAATGAAATCAAAGTTTTTGAGATTTCAGAGGGAAGACATGATTTTATCAAGAGTCTCTTGTCTCTTTCAGGTCGAAAAAACGTTGCTATTTGTTCCAATCATTAAAAATGGGTAAGCATTTTTTTATTCGGGTGTTGAAGTATAAACTTAGTGTTTAAATTTGTTTTCAATGCAAAATCACGAACCCTAACGCAAGTAAACAGAAAAAAAAACACTTTGTCTCAACTTTCGAATTTCAAAGAAAAAAAAATGATGCCCTTTATGCTCTTTGAATTTCTAGAACAATTTATGATAGCCGCTTTATTGAGAACATTAAACCAACTTGAGAAAACTGGATCATGAGTTGTTATTCCGCTGGAAATCTAAATATTAATTTCCAACTTTCAAAGCTAGAAATCGTTCACGTTTTTTCGCGCCATTTCCACGTTCATATTTGGAGAGAGCTATTCACAGCAGATGAATTTCAATTGAACAAAAGTGCATATATATAGCAGTGCAACCATAAATACATTATTAATATGTATGAATTCACATCTGTTAATACCAAGACCTATATAAGAGTCTTCATTCGTTCATTACTCTTAAAAAAGAAGGTTCGTACTAATACACTAACGCTCGCTAGTGGGAACATAGCCAATAGACAGTTGTAAAGTGTAGAAAAAGGAAACCAAAAAAAAACGCTTGAAAACTTTCAAAGAAAAAAAATATTATGTTGCAGCTCTTTGAATTTTAATTTCTGTTCATGATCGACTGTTTCTTCGTAAAATTATCCCATTTAAAGAAAACTCGATCAAATAGTAACTTTGTTATTACAGTGGGAATTCAACAAAATTAAAGTCCATTTTTGAAACTAGAAGCAGATCACGCTTTTTGTCACCTTAACGCTATTGCTGTTCGACAGTGGATCTTTCATTCATTGCAACAAATGAAATGAAGTGAACTTGAAAAACCATCACGATTCAAGTGAAAAATTTAAACTGAACAAGAACGAACTTCCAGAAAAAAAACAAAAAATCATTCAGGCCTATATAAAAGAAAATAGTTCTTTTACACTTAAACAAATTAAAATTAGTTACATTTGAAGCAGAATTAGAAACCAATTGCTCCTATATCACTCAGCGGTTACCATGATCCAGAGAACTGAGTTGATTTTTGTTACCTGCTGGTGGTATCCACTGACGACCTTGAAAGAGTGGTTCAGTCTGTTCACTGCACGCTGACACCCAGCCAAGTTAAGATCTATAACAAACATATCAAGTCCTTGGTTCAAATTCAAAAAAGCAAATTAAAGTCGTTTTCAACTATAGATTTGATTAACTGAGCTCCTCACAAAAAGTCCCCTTTTACAGTGTTTTTCAGCGTCACAGGTGAATTTCTAGAATGCAATATTGATCGCCTTTTGGAATGATTAGAGAAAATATGGTTTCTGCGACCACTTATCCCCCAGAAGTGCATTTTGTTCACTGAACAAAATGCATTTGAACGCATCGGTCGGCCAACCAATTTCCACGGTTAACACTTACTTGAACTGCACGGTATCCGTCAAAACATCTCGGCACCTTTTTAGGCCTCTACATAAGCCTAATACTTTCTTAGCTATTTACCTTGTTGGCTGACACAGTAATCTGAGCCACTCCGGTTGTCCGAGTCTTCCAGGTCAGAGTCACTCAGTCCCGGGTCCGTGTTCTTCGGAGGTCTCATTCTCAGCACCTGTTCCGGCAGACAGACACACCTCTCTTGTTTGTACTCATTACTCACAAATCCCTCGTCATCGTCCACTCCTGTCTCCTTCAAAATAAGACAGGCAGTTGAAAAACATAGCCAACTGACAGTTGGAAAAGAGTAATCACTCAAGTAAACAGAAAAAAATGACTTTGTTGAAGCAACTTTTGAATTTCAAAGAAAAAAATAGATGCCCATTAAGCTCGTTGATTACTCTTAAAAAGCACGAGAAATAAATAAATGAACACTAATTTAGTTCATTAGAACTTAACAGACAGTCCGCATAACGACATAAATATGGGGTGGAATCAATCGATAGTTTAAAACTATTTCAGAGAATCTTAGCAAACTTTAACTTCTTACTTTTCTGATGCAGAACAAACAAGGAGCTGTGGTTCCCGCAGAAGCATAGGTTTTGCCCGCAGTGGATGAAGCACCATTCAAATCCATCGGATTGGTCGGGGTCAAAAAATTTCCCGAGTGTTTCGACCCGTGAGGCGAAGCGAGTTGCGTTTCTTCGACTTCTGTTAAGTGGTCGCCGCCAACGAGTGTTTCCTTTCTGCTGCCTGGGAGAGCTAAGGCGGTTTCTTGGAAGAGGGAATCGGCAGACCTCCAACTCTTGATCTTCTTCTTCTCTGCTCCACGTGAACTGGCATACTTATGCAGCGGTGCCTTAGATGTCTAAATCACAATTTATATTTAAACACTGAACATTTTGGAGCTAAGGGATTACTTAATATTATGACAAGAAATCTGATTACGACTAGATGATTACATCACAGAGATCATAAGCTACCTAGGTTGCCCATAGTCTACATGACTATTCACAACAAAAACAACATTTGGAAACCGTCATACCCTTTTAGGCTTCTGTGAAGGTGCGTAACTAGCCGAGCTCCTTTCATCCAGAGAATCTTCAGATAAATCAGCCACCGTATTGCTTCCAGAGAGCCCACTTTTGTGCAGAGTTGTGTTGGATCCGCTCCTGCTGTTAGCCAAGGACGAGTTGGCTGTCTTCAGATTAGAACTCCTGGTGGCCTTGAGGTAACTGGGTGCTTTGGATAAGGAGACTTCCGATGTAGTTGAGGTAGTGGATGCATTGGACAGTGTCCTTGGTGCATTGTTTGATGTCGTCACTGCTGTGTTTGTTGTTGTGGCTGACGATGTTGTTGTTACACTGTTTGTCTGTTTGCCTTGGTTTGCGCTCAGAGTCGTCGAACTTCCACCAGTTTGACGCTTCGTCAGATTGTTGTCTGATCTACAAAAAAAAAACATTCTCAAATTCTAGTTCCGAATAAAATTCGATTTATTCGTTTTTCGCAACGCATATTTGTTTCATCGGATTCCTGATATGAACGTTTCAATACTTGCTTTCTAATTCATGGATTAGTTCCACAAACCAAATCAAAAAAGGATAGCCGGTTGCTGTGCAAGTAGCATAGAATGTTCACACCGCGGTTCTTTGAGGAAGGAAATTATGCTTTTTCAACATATCTTGTTGTTCTTTTGTAAAAGGGCCAATGAATTCAGTAAAAAACTGGAAGACTGAGAAGTTATCGTGGTCAAAAAACTAAAAAAATTGTAACAGACAAAGTTTGTCTATTTTCCAGTTCCCTTTGATTATTGCTTAAAAACTATTCCCTAAATGCTATTCAAAATGACATTTGGTGCAGAAAATCAAAATTAAACATGTCGTGTGAACAAGTGGACATATTCGGATAAGTTTTTCAAACGCAAACAGCCGTTTGAACAATTTTTATACAACTTTTTGTAATTTAAGTAGGGAGTAGAAAAGTTCTCAAATTGGTAGTTCAGGCGCTCACCAAATTTAGTACAAAAACGGAAAAAGTCCTAAATTGGGAGTGTACGGTCTCACGAAAATTGAGTACGAAAAAGGGGAAAAGTTAGACCCATTTTTCTCGATTGCAAGGGCTTTAATATGATCCCACCCTTGTCTCCTAACGAGCTTTCTTTGAAGTAGCCGTAATTGACACAATGAAAATCTAATCTACGCCATAGCCCAGCCCCACCCCTGTAGTGGGGTGGTCGCAATAATATTCATTCCAGTCAGTATTTACGCCGAGGTCGCTCTCCTGCATTTTCCACGCTCTTTCAAAAGACCCCATTTTCTAAACAATATCAGCGCCGCAGGTAAAATATTGAGGCCATAAATCACTTCTTAGAAGATATTTTGGAGGGTTTCGACTAAAAATCGATTTTTAGGGTTTCGAATTTTTGCGGCCCCTGTAAACTTGCATATATTGTCGCTGAATGAGCCTGAAGAAAAATTTTAAAGATCGGCTGACCAAAATCAGATGTCTTAAAATAGAGTGGTTAGAGGCGGTCAAATCAACTCAGCAAAGTTGCCGAATACTATTGAGCTTTTGGCAACAATCGTTATATGACAGCAGTTCAGATAGTTTATAGTTTCATTTTCAGAACAACCAGAACCAAAAGATCTGATCCTATTTCAATTAAATTAGTAGCACACACTTAAACTTGAAAAACACAATGCCCGCAAGCTCGCATGTGTAAATACTTCAAGATATTCCCACGTCTGTGCTCACTCAAGAGAAAATTCTGTCTAAAGGCATCTTCACCCCAAGAAAATGACCATAATCATGCTGAAGGACATCTCGCTGTGCCAGGATTGAATAGCACAGTGTTTTGGAGAAATGGAAAAGTATATCCCACAAAGGGAGAAAGTTTGAATTGATGCTAAACAGACTGCAATAGAATGGAAAAATGGAACCATATCATAATTCACTGTCTGCACACTTACCCACGGCGCTTTTGCCCGACATCAGACCTGTTACAAAGTTCAACATGATCATCACACATAATTCTTAGTAATATATTGGGAATCCTTGGTTAAATATCCGGCAGATTAACTTCAATTTGAAGAGTCTCTTTGATACCAATGAGCTCATGAAGCTCAATCAATTTGAGTTATATGTTATAGATTCTCAAATTTAGATCAGCTTCACACTGTTAGTTTTTCACGATTAAAAACCCAATTTGATATAGAATTGTAAAACCCAGCTGGTCATCAATAATATCCACAATTTGAAACTAGAAAAAGAAATAGCGAATCGTGCTTTGATGACATTAATAAACTGCTAAATAATTTTCCGGAAAATTTATGACTGTCATTTTTATTAGTTTTCTATTTTCCCTTTGTGAGAAAGCTGAATTAATACATACTTCTCTTTTCAAATTGAGAACACTCAAAAATTATCTATTTCTAAACGGGGAGAGCGTTCTCTCCGCTGACTTTCAAATTTGATAGCGATATTAATTTGAGTTCACATCTTAATCTAATCAGATATTTTAGTAAGCAATGAGAATAAATCTGAACTTGTCAATACTTCTTGGAAGAAATCAACATCACAATTATTAGGAGAGTTTTGGCTGTCCAAAAAGGAGGAATCGACAAACTAAGTAGCTATGACAGATCAGAAGATACTGGAACATTAACAGATTTGACGACCGCACACTTACGCTCGACGCTTCTGCCCCAAATCGTACCTGTTAGAAAGTGCATGATCATCATTGCATAATTATGCATTTAATAAAAATACACTAAAAAATGAAGTAATTCAAACATACGTTTTTTAAACATTAACACTCTCCATGCTTCTTCAAATTACAGCCTAATTCTTTTTGGTAATCACAGCCTTCTTTGCAAATAATATCCCACAAATTTAAAACCACTAATGGCGGAAAAAACGCGACACGAAAGCAGTAGCATAAATCAATCATTCTCCATGAAATTATTTTTCACAATTCGCTCCTATTGGTTTTTTATAAATATGTGGGAAGCTTTTTGAAGCGTGAAATTTCATTGCTTGAATCATTAATTCTTTCAATAACACTAATTGATATTTGAAGCAAGAAAATATTATAATATTCTGTGTTTTTATCGATATCATACAATTAACACAAAATCTAAGCTGCACTTCACAGAAAAAGCAAAAATAAGTTGAATTAGAAAGCAAATTTTTGCTTTCTATCAAAAACTATTTTGCTTTCTATTAAAACAAAAATTTCCCACTGAATTCAAACCGCCAACCTATAGACTCAGAGTCTTATATCAAGACAATTGTGCCATATGATCTTGCGGCCTTCCAAACGCCAGTCAAAATGAAGCAGAAATAGCTAATGTATGTACTTAACACATGATAAGTGCGCAGATACTGAAGTGCCCATTTCGATAATTTATGCCCAAAAATTTGAAGTCATTGTGAACTAAAAATAAATTCCATTTCTAATTTTGACCCTTCTGTGAACAAAGTGAAAAAGTCCAGTACCCGGTTCCAATACACTTGGTATAGCAAGTGTAATTACGTAAATCTAATTCAAAAATTAAAACCCACGAATGAAACTAATTTCCAGTTTTCTGCCATTCACAATTTTGTTTACTTCCATCTAGCCAATAAATTTAAATTGAACTTCAGAAAATCAAAGGTCAAACCGTTTAAATATTTTTTTCCGTAACTTTCTCCTTAAAATGGAAAGAAAAATCAGACAACCAAAATAAATGAGGCTCATTGGGTTTTAAGTTCCAAACTGCATCACAGATAATTTTAAGGGAAAACAACAGCTCTTTCAAAGTGATTAGTGAACGTCACCAGTCCTTGATTTTGAATATTTTATAGGAAGCTTCCAACATTTTATACGCAGAAATATAAACAACAGACTGTTGTACAAATATCAATAATTTTTAAAAGATTAGTTAGCGTTACCGCGTCTATTTAAAAATATTTCAAAGGTAGCTACTTGAATCGTCTGATGTTTGTTGCTTTTGACTCCTGCTCTTGCCCCTTGTCTGCCGCCGGGTTCTTCTCATTCACATGTGAACCTCGGTTGGGATCCAGCATCGCTCCTCTCCTCTTCATCTTCACACTGCTGTTATGCGACAAGTTAGTCGTCTCCGAAGATAGATCACCTGACTTCTCAGAGTGGTGCTTCAGATTCTTGGAACTCCTGCGAGTGTCCGAAAGCACCGGACTTTTCAATGAAGCAGGGTCGGCAGCTGAAACAATTAAAACTGCTTCAAACATTTTTTTACTACGAATTTTTGATTTATCTCGGATTATGTTGAGCCACAGGTTCAGATCGCTCCAAATTTTCAGATATCTTTTTGAAAACTATTCTTTATTTTCCGATATTATGGAAGTTATTTTTGGTCAATATAAACATTTTACTCGACAAGCACCAATCATTAGTAAGTATCGCATTTCAATTCTCGCCATGCAATGAATAAAACGTGTTTATGCATTAATTCGAAGTGAAATTATTTCAAGTTCAACCATAACGGAACTAAAGGTTAGTTTTCGTAACAGTGAATCAGTGCTTAGTGAGTTATGTCAAAAACACGTGAATTCACGACTCTTCGTACCCGAAAGCCCAGCTTTTTTATCACACTGACACCCAATGGAACTAGGGTCACTAGTATCGGATGCTTTGAAATTATCGTCAAAGAGCATTTCAAATGACTGTTCCGTGGTCGCAGGTTCCCTTTTCGGTGGAACCGATTTCGAGTTCCTAATAGGCGAATTGGCGCTTCGCTTCGGTTTCAGAAAACTAGAAAGATTTTTCGACTTCTTTTTCTGCAGATTCACACTTGCTGTACTTTGAGGTAGCATCGATCTTGAATTTCTAGTCACGCTGGTATTACCAGATCGTGTGAAACTACTTTCTATTTTTGACGTCGACTTGTTTCTTGCTCGTTCTACAGCCGGCTTCGGTCCTTTAGAAGTTGGCGATATCTTTGATGCAACTGACAGTGCTAATCGAGATAATCTCGGTGACGGTGACCCGAAACTATTCGGCGGTGACTTCGGGATGAGTTTCGGTGAAACGGGAGTCGACTGACTCGCCGATGCGTTCCGCGACCTTAGCAATTTCGGCGATGCCTCACTGTTCTGTTTGGAGAACGTCGACGATTTGCTGAGTTTGGACGACACTGGAGTTAGTTTCGCTGCAACATGTTGTGGCACTGGAACTGGTATACTCAGTGTTTTATAAGAGAATGAATAGCTAACAGATGGCTGATTCAAATCAGGTGAGCCAAAAGATGCCATGTCTGGGTCACCTTTTGAAATCGGCATGAAGTACTGGGTCGAGGCTAAATTGATGAAAATTCTCTTTGCTTTATCTATGTAAATGCAAGTCGAATAGAAAAAAAAACAAGAAAGAGTTTTTTAAACAGCCAACAGAAACATAGCCAATGAACAGCCAACAGAAAGTTGGGAAAGAGTCAGTGAACAAGGAACTGAAACATAACTGATTGATATTAATCTTTTGGAAAAAATACATAATGTTAAAGCTATTTGAGTTCGAAAACATTTCGCATCTATCTTACTAACACATTATTGGGATCAATTAGAGTGCCTCAACTCGATTTGAAATTTTTTTCTGAGCTGGATTAATTCGCAGCATTTGCTACGATCTTCCGATAAATTTTAAAATCCACCCGTTTTTATTGTCCCAAAAAGCAGCCAGCAGATGGCTACAAAACTGTACACAGAGGCGAAGCTGTAACTTCGCAAACACATGCAAAAAATAGCTTTAAAAGGGGTCAATAAGTGATAAAGGTTGAACTTGAAAAAAATCTGCTAAGTTCCGGAAACAAAACCCCAACCTGGAGAATAAGACTTACACAGCAGGTGCGCCATAAGCGTTCAATATCTTCAAAAACTAGCCACCAATAAACCAGATACGAAGACAAAAAAAGATATAATGTTATTGCTACTAAATAACCACTAAATAGACGAGAACTTTTTTTGCGACTTGGAGAAAATGTGGATACAGTATTATAACACTACACACCGCTTGTAAAATAACCCAAGCGAACCGGAAAAATTGATTGAACTTTCGAACTTCACCTTAAAGTTGAACTTTCGAAGTATATCAGGCTAAAGCTTCTGAATTTTAAGAATTGTTTATGACGGATACTTTGTCCTATTTAGAAAAAACTAGCCACCAATATTCCGCTGGATATTCTGAAATCCAATTTCATTTTTAAACAGGAACTCATTCACGTTTTTCATGGCCTTTTCACTTTTGCTGTTCGATAATGGAGTTTGCCTTCCTTTTAAAAAAGGAAATGAGCTGAATTTTTTAAGAAATCAATTTTTTAATGTGGTTACTGCGAATCGCAGAGAAGCTATCAGTAGGCCTTAACAGTCCTGTCGAAGGACAGTCCATTTAAATTTTCTCCCACGCCAGACTGTTATTGTGTTGAGCTAGCTCTTATTTTTGCGACTCAAGGTCGTTTTTTTTGTGTCTAGAACTTTCATATGGTACCACTATTGCAGCAGAAATCGGTCAGGCTGTGGTAAACCTGACACTATAGGTCAAGTGAGAGCTCGTCCTCACACAGTAGCATTGCCATGGCATGGGATCGAATACACAATCCGATGATTTCAAAGTTAACGCCTTGCAATAATGCTAATTGCCTCCTAATCAAACCGCGAAAAAACATCAACCTAAATTAGTGTCTTCACTTTGCTCATTGAAACTTCAGCTGATATATATCGTAACATTGAAGATGATTTTTTCACACAACGATCAGTAAAATGAGGCATATGATCACCCAAAAGAAACTTTGATGGTTTTAATAATTTTCACCGGGGGATTCTTAAGCTCAGCGGTATTTAAAAATAAAGCTTTCAAAAGCGATGAGACACGTAAAGGAACACAAAACTGTAACTAAAAACTGCACGCTACCTCGCATGCTGCTGGTTGATTTCAGTTTGCTGCCTGAAGATTCAGTTCCATCAAGTGACATATGCAATGCCTGTGGCCGACTCATGCTCTGGGATGAAATCAGTTTATTGTTGCCGGGAGTGAGATGCGTCCTGGCGAACTTCTTAGGTGCCACCCGGTCACCTGATGCCACATCAGAAGGATGACTCGGGTTCACACTATGATGGTCATCGGTTGCCACGGTAGTTTCGACACTCTCCGATTGTGTAACAAGCGAGAAATCTTTCCCGGTTTCGTCTGAATTAACGTAAAACAGTTAGAGTTCGTCCATGTTGTTTGTATGCTTTAGATTGATACTATTGTAAATAGCGTACCTTGACGTAATTCTTCCAATGTTTTCTTTGAGTTCAGTAACTAAAACGATAATTATGATTTTATTTTGCTCTCAGGTGACTAAGATGAAAATCATGGAATTGGTTTACATCATTCAGAGAGATGAACTGAAATAACAGAAAACTGAAGCTGAAATTTTAAAATTAAAAAGAGTTCAGATATAACTAACTCGGTCACACTGATTCTTTTTGATATTATTGCGTCTTTTAGTGCTCTAAAATTGAACATATGGTCGAAACTTCAAACTTAAAATAAATCTCCTTTTGAATAGGCTGCTTATATATCTACAGTTTTAGAGATGACACGGATATACATTTTTGATGAATCTGGGGAGATCTAATGAATGTTTTGTTTTGTTGTATTAGGTACAGACCGGAGTCGGTTTCATCAAATGACGCAAACGGTGCACCAGTTTCATTTTGGGAGGATTCTTCGCAGATTTTCCCTGACAAAAACGCCATGAATTAAAAGTGTTACAATTTCAACTGTAATTTTTGTTTTGTAATTTTTGTTTGGGGCCCTTTAAATCTTAGAGATTTGAATAAATCAATATTTATATAAATTTGATCCTTCGTGCAACATCTATATCAATGCTGCAACAAAACTTAAAAACTAAAAATAAAGCAGTCAACATTAAGAGATAACGCTTTAAAAAGACAGAAGGGCAGAAAACCGCTGAAATTGGAGTCAAAGAGAGCGATTACTGACGTCATTTCTCACGTAATGAGTCAAAATGATCACAAAAAATCGTAAGCCAAAAAGTTTCCATTAAAAAGGTCTTCCATTAATTCAGTTCAGGACCCACGTTTAAGCACAGAGATGAAGCGGAGCTTCACATCCCTTGCAATACATCACAATCATACCCACTGCAAGCTAGCCGACAGAACAATTGCCAGAGCCGAACTTGCATTGATAATATACAAAGCGGTAATTAAGTCGACATTACTTGGGTTGTCGAAAATATGGTTGTCGAAAATACGTTTAAGCACAGAGATGAAGCGGAGCTTCACATCCCTTGCAATACATCACAATCATACCCACTGCAAGCTAGCCGACAGAACAATTGCCAGAGCCGAACTTGCATTGATAATATACAAAGCGGTAATTAAGTCGACATTACTTGGGTTGTCGAAAATATGGTTGTCGAAAATACGTTTAAGCACAGAGATGAAGCGGAGCTTCACATCCCTTGCAATACATCACAATCATACCCACTGCAAGCTAGCCGACAGAACAATTGCCAGAGCCGAACTTGCATTGATAATATACAAAGCGGTAATTAAGTCGACATTACTTGGGTTGTCGAAAATATGGTTGTCGAAAATACGTTTAAGCACAGAGATGAAGCGGAGCTTCACATCCCTTGCAATACATCACAATCATACCCACTGCAAGCTAGCCGACAGAACAATTGCCAGAGCCGAACTTGCATTGATAATATACAAAGCGGTAATTAAGTCGACATTACTTGGGTTGTCGAAAATAAATGAAGTCAAAAAACGTTGAACTACAAAACATCAAGTTTCTAAGTCATACCCGAAGCACACATATTTCAACGCAGCCTTTATGAATTTGTCTTTCAACGTAGAATATCATAAGACTAATTGAAACGTAGCAAACAGAAATTTGGATATATGTTGATGAACAAGGAAGCAGAACACTGACATATTTTTTTTTATTTTCCAAGGTTACAAGAACAAACTTTCCCCTTTTTCAGGAATCTGTCATGGTTGAAAATTTTTTGATAACCACCCAATTTGAAAAAAAACTGGATCAAACGGTTTGTTTTTTCGCCGATTAATCGTAGGATTAAAATCAACTCTTCAAAGTAAAAAACATTCACGCTTTTTCGCGCCAATTTCCCTTATAGTATTCGATCAAAAAAAATTAGACAAAAAGAGAAATTGCTTCGTTCTTTTACACTTCATCACGGTTTCCCAAAAAAACAAAGCCAACTGACAGTGGAAACAGAGTAATGAGTGCGAGGAAACTGAAAAAAAAACGGACTTGTTTTTTTTCAAAAACCTTCAACTTTTGAATTTCAAAGAAAAAAATAGATGGCCTTAAAGCTCTTTGAATTTTTAGAACAATTTAGGATGGACACTTTTTTGTTAAAATTAACCAAATTTGAAAAAACAAGATCAATAACTACCATTAGAACTCCTATAAATAGCTTTGGGAATGCTAGACAGAAGCCAAGTTTTTAACAAATATCCTTTCTGTGGAACTAAGCAGACAGACAATAATCTAAATCAGCCAACACTTTCTATGTGGAAGAAAACTCCCGGGAACGAAAACTTCTATGTGGAACCGACCTCCCGGGCTTTGTCGCCTCAAGCATAGGGATTTTAGCGATTTGGAATAAAGCTGAACCATCGAGCTACGGGAACTAAGCCGACAAAAACAAACAGACGGACGAATCACAAGCCTTTGCCGTCCCAAGCAGTTATTTTACCTCTACGACAGATGCGCCAGATGGTTGATCGGATTTGAATTTATATCAACCAAGCGGTAACAAAGCCGAAAAAAACTGAGCAGAAAACCTCCATACCGAAAAGAAATTCAAAAAAAAGTTCAAACACTTATTTTTAAAAAAATGTTAAGTCCCTTTCCCCTCAGAGCACGCACGCGCGAAAAAAGCCAAACACAAATTTAAATTCGGCCGGATTTTTGATACGCTAAAAACAAATGCAGTGAAAATTGTTTGCCGCTAAAACAAACGTTTCTTAGATGTGGCAACTAGGACAAAAAATATATAGACAAATAGTAGACCGAAATTTTTAAAACCAGAATATTTACCACTTCAAAAAATCTGGTTCTAGTCAGATTCGAACCCAGGACCTTTGCCATCCAGGCGCGTATTCGTTACCACCAGGCTAAGTGTGCAAGAGACGCTACCAAACTAGAATTCATTATGAACCAAGGTACCGCCAGGAGTCCAACGAGTCCTGTGGACGAAATTGTTAATGGGAAAACAGTCTAGTACCCGATTGCAGTACCCTGGCTCATCGCAAGGGTAAAAACTAGCCAAGAATGATGCAGCTATAGATGCTAATAAATTGCCAATGCTATGTAGCAGAAATGCCACCAAGTTAAAATATACTAGGGCTAAGTGCGGCGTTTAACATCCGACAACTAGTTTAGGAATTTCACGTCCCTCCCTCTGAGCCACGGATGCTTGTTGAATAATGGCAAACACTCGCCACCAATAAATCAAAGAACAGCTGCTATGAAATTTCCAACGCTACAGATCGTTATTATAGCAGAAGTGCCACCAAATAAGTGAACACTTTAATTGCTACTTAGGTTGGCAAGAAGTTGCATCGTACTATCACACCAAGCTACGCTAGTGTAATAAATTGATTTCAGACTTTAGGTGATCTCTCCCCAGCCTATATTTAGCCCGCATGTAAATTCAGCCCGCTATTAACCAATTCCCAACTTTACAGTGCTGATTCAAATTTTGGTAAAGTATTCTTATGTAAATTGTTGGTGACGCTCACAATTTTGTCAACTTTATCGTTTGACAAAAACAACTAAATTCTATTTTGCAAACAAAGATCCATAACATTTGGCCGTTTCGCTATCACAATGGAAGGTTCCTCAATGACAAAATTAATATTGTCAAAGCAAGCTTGTAGAGAAAAAGTTCAGGAAAGATAATTTGATAATTTTTTTTCAATATAGTGCAATAATCCCATTTCGATATACGCGCGGATCTATTTGAATCAACACAATCGTTTTTGCAATCAATCAATCAAGACCCAAGGAATACTTCTACAACTCCGCGACCCAAACCAAGCAATCAGGGTTCAGCAATTATATTTCATATTTAATCTATCTTGCTTCCTTACCATTGCCAGTTCCAATTTAGTTTGGTGGACTTCTCGTGACAAATCATGCTGCCATTCTAGCAGCTGGCGAAATCAAGTACCGAAATTTTACTTATTTTCTTATTCGAATATATCAACAAAAAAACAGCAGTCATTTCATATGGGCATCAGGATTAAATCAGCCGATGTTTATTTGACCATAACACCCCTCAGTCTAAAAACTACATCAATAATTTTGCACAAACAATCAAACAAATTTCACGCTTCCAAGTTCCAAGTTTCCTCCATCCCCCCATCCTCCCTCTAGTCAATCATTAAACATCCAACCTATTCCGTCTGCATCCTTCATTAATCCAGTGATGGCTTAGTTGGTTAACGATCGTTCAAACATTTAGTCTGAGAGAGATAGAAAATACACTAGCTGATCTCTAATGGTGTTAACTGTGGCAGGATAGGCTATTTACCTGATGATTAGTCATGCGGTTGAAATGCTGGTTTGTCAGACTATTTCTTCTGTTTCGTCTCAACTCCACTGGTGCAGCTCTGAAATAGTAATAATAAAAAGTAAAATATCATTCAATTTTATCAAGTTCAATCACTGCATAATCCTAGACCATCTAAAAAAGAAAGCCAGTATCCTTTCGGAATTTTGCATGTCATCTCTCAGCATTATATTTATATTGATCAAAAGCGTCGCGTTTTTTTTACTTCAATTGTTTCGTCTAATCCATGATGACTCAGTGATGTGTTGTATCAACCATTGTATTGGTTCCATTTAAAACAGCAACTAAAAATACTTGATTTTTTTTGCATTTCACCAACAAAAACCAGATACTCAAGTATTTGAACAAACACGAATACTTGGAAACTACATGTTTTTTTACTTTTTATTTTAATTTTTCGAGCTAGTTGTATGAGGATTTAGATCAAATTTACATGACTATTGAATTCAAACACATTTTTTTTTAAATTGACCATATGACCAATTAAATCTGAAACATAAATGCGCGTTTGAACTAACAACAGAGTAAAAACGTTTCTGCAGAATGACAACCAAACAAAGAAGAGAGACAAAGCCCACCACGTGCGACTCTTTTTGCTAATATCCAATTAAGAACAAGTGCTCTTATGTTTCAATCACAATTCATACCAGCAATTAAATATCAAAAATTTCTATATAGTAAAACTCTTTTTTCGTGTTAAATTGGTTCACATAGGAGCAGCTTATTTTTAAATTAAACGTAAATGTTTTCAAGAAAACACCTAAACTAATCACAGTGATCACTTGATATAATCACTTATTTTTTCGGTGATAAAACGTCATTTAATAACTATTAAAACTTATTTCTCCCTAATTTAACAATCATGGGTAGGATCAGTTAGTGGGACAACAGATAATTTACCCTTTTGCAAACGAATCGATCAAAAAAGGGCAAAAAAATCTGACAGCAAATAACTTCAGTTTTTCTTTATAGAGATAGGTTGACACCATCTCTCAATGATTGGAAGAGCCAGCACACGAACTTTTAATTCCTTCGACCTTCTTTTCGATTGAGAAAAAAATATATATTTCGGCACTGGCGTGCGCAGAAACTTTTCTGGCGGGGGGGGGGGGGGACGGCGGTTTTTTTGAAAATTTTGCGGATCCTTTTTAGGTTGACCACTCTGATTTTCGGAGCTCACCGAAATTACTCTAAGGGCCCTATTTTGTCAAAAAAAATTTCCTCGCCGCAAGGCAAAATTTAAAAAGAAACAGGCCAAAGAAACAGGCCAAAAATTTAAAAAGAAACTTTTTGGAAACATACAATTCAGGCTTCACGTCTTCCACGTTATCATCCTCCTCTGCATCGCCATCATTGATGCTATCCTGGTCCGCATCTCCTCCTGCTTCCATATTTTCATCTTCCTCATCAGTTGCTGCTTCAGCATCTAACTCAGTTGATGATCTAGCGGCAACCACTGTGCGACGGCTGGCACCTGATTTGTCCAGATTCGATCGACTAGTGCTACTTTTGACCTTGAAGCGACGGCCGGGCGGTCCTTCACTCTCGCTTATCGAGTCTAAAACGACAAAATTATTGATGAATATGTTCCACTTTAGCCGTAAAAAGTACCTGTATCTTCTTTCTAGGCTTTTTGAAAATAGTGAACCTCTTTTACACTCAACATTTACTATTCAAATCAGAAATCTAAACCGGAAAAATTGCGTATGGCGGGAAAAAAACTTCGCGTTTTAATTTTTCAACCATCATTAACCGAGTGATGCCACTTATGGCTGCTTATTCTTGATAGAGTCAAAATGTGACACAGAAGCGAAGCTGAGCTTCGGACAACTTGCGATACAAATATCAAACGGAAAAACCAACCGGAAAAAAAATTTAAAAAAAACTTCAAAAGCCCAAAATATCCGAAACAAAAATGCCTGCATCATTAACAAGAGATTTCGAATTGTTCGAAAGAAACCGAATTTTCACAAAAAAAATTATTTCTGCGGAACCAAGCCGACAAAAATAAGCAGGCTTTGTCTTCTCCAGCATAGCGGTTAAAGCATCCTGCAAGAAATCTGAACGTTCAAAAAATTTGGGCTACCGGACCTAAGCCAACAAAAATTAACAGAAGGACGATAGCCCGAAAAAGTACAAAAACTCTAGTTTGAACGAAAAAGAAAACGGTCTCAAACAGTTGTTAACTCTATGCCAGATGCGCTTAATGGTTGATTGAGTTTGAAATTAAAATTATTACGCGGTAACAAAGCCGAAATTACCTGGAAACCTTGCATAGCGAAAAATTCAAAAAAAAATTCTAAGCGTATTAAAAACCTTAAGCAGACAAAAACTACGCGCAGACAAATACTTTTTTCGACCCTCAAACGACGCATTAAGAGTTCCATACAAATTAAATCAAAATTTATTAAAGATAAAACAGACAAAACAAAGCCAACTGACAGTTGGAAAAGAGTAATGAACGCAAGTAAACAGAAAAAAAAGACTTGGTTGAATAAATCTCAACTTTCGTAATTCAAAGAAAAAAAAGATACCCTTTAAGCTCTTCGAAAATGGAAAAGTAAAGTTTTTATTCCGCTGGACATCTAAAATTAAATTTCATTTTCGAAACTAGAAATCGTTCACGTTTTTTGCACCATTTCCACGTTCATATTTGGAGAGTGCTATTTACCTAACTTTCAGTAAAAGAATTTCAATTGAACTCAAACAGTGCATATATACCTAAGTGCATTCATAAATGCATTAATATGTATGAATGCACATCTGTAGTTATTAGAGCATTTTAAGACTCCTGAAAAAAATCACCAAGACCTATAAAAGAGTCTCCACTACGTTCACTGCTCTTAAAAATGTAATCAGTTGGTAAAATTACCACCAATGTAAAAAACAAATTTCGATTCAACAGGATTTTTAAAAGACACTTAAAACATTTCAAGCAACTACAGTGAAAATTGTTTACAGCGACAAAAAACCCAGGACCTTTGCCGTCCCAGGCGTATTCGTTACTTCTCTGCTAAACGTGCAGGAGACACCAAAAATGCAAGAGACTCCACCAGGAGTTCAGATGAGTCATGTGAACAAAGTTAGTTATGAGAAAAAATCTTGTACCCAATTGCAATGCCCTTGCTTATCGCACGGGCAATAACTTACCTTGATCTTCAGACGTGGTTTGATCCTTGTCCACGGAGTCTGGCGACAACCTGTCCGTATTCGAGATGTTCACTTTGAACCCTTCCACGTCATCCTTATAACTCCCTTTTCCTTTCTCATCCTCCTTTGCCCCAGTGGCCGCCATGAAGATCGGAACTGGCTGGGTATCTACGCTAGGTGTCTGTTTATCGGACTTTTTAGTAGGTGACATCGCTGGAAATTTCAGATCTGAGGGCCTTTCTGACGGGGCCAACACTTCTTTAATTTGAGACAGCTTTCGAGGTTCAACCAAGTCAGTTGTATTTGCCTGAAAGCAGCCATACTTCAATTAAAAGAGATTAACTGCTGTTTTATGAAATGAATTTTTTCACATATATACATAGAGAAATGATTGCAAATGAAATAATTCCAGATGGGATTCGAACCTCGTTTTCTGGGTCAGGAGATGATATTTCGATGTCTTCAATGTCGAACTGTCGACTAAGGGGTGAGGCTAGGTTGAGGTTTTCACTGTTTACCTTTTCCTCGGCCAAGTTAGTGGAAGAACAGATAGAGGCCTGGAGAAGCAAAATGAAACAATCGGATGACATGGAAAAAGAATTGGTGAGTTATGAGTGAAAGTGACATCAATTTATTGCGGAAGCTGACAGAACAATTAGATGATTGAACAATTAGATCGTTGGTTTCGTTAGCTGGGTAAAAGAGAAATTCAGAACTCACATTGCTTTCGGATCCCGAGTTGTATCTCTTTACGGCAAGGTTCTCGGCTAAAACCAAGCTCTATTGCATGAAAACCTGGCCATGACGACAGTTCAAAAAATTATCATATATCTGTTTTTTCAGACCAATCAAGCCAATTTTCTACGGTACTCACTGAACAATTGATGAGGATCGCACATTGAGAACTCCTCCCCGCAAGAGGCAACATTGACTGAAGTGGCTAGACTGAACTGCTCGTTTGCCCTGTCACCCCATCTGCCCCCTGGCATCGATAGGTGGTCCTCCCCGACCGCATTAAGACCTCCCAATGAGGCACTCATAGGGTTGGCTGGACCTCCCCTCTTCATCTTAGAAGGATTTGACTTCTTGAACCAAGAGGGTAACTCAGAGTCATCGTCGTCCAGGAGAATAGCTAGAAAAAGACCCTCTGAGAAATGTTTTAAAAATAAGGCATCAAACTAAGCTCGTTTTTTGTCACTTGCACCGCAGCAAGACTTCCATATAAGTATTGTAGTAGTTTTCAGTACAATTGTATTTCAATCGGAGTCTGAATACGCTTTTAAAACATGAATGACAACCTACCTTTGTTAATCGCTGGCTTCACGGATTCGCTCCTAGCTCTGGTCCTGAACTCGGCTGGAGGTGCGGAGGACAAGCTGCGATGGGAAAACTCATCAGGGATAGGGACTTGATTCAAATGCTGAGTCATCTGTCTGCTTAGCTTCCAAACGAACACACAGCTGTAAGAAAAAGAAGCGGTTGTTTAATGCTTCACATGCTGGTCACGACACACTGAAACATTTAAAGCATCCGAATCCAGGACTTTGTCATCTTACCTATCTCCACAAGTTGAAATGAGCCTTTTTGAATCGTTTGTGAACGCTAGCCCAGTTATCGTTTCTAAATAGATATATTGCAAATTTCAGTTAGACATTATCCTTATTGAAATCAAGTTTTTTATCACAATTGATATTTTACCTGAATGCCCAAACACAGTTGTTACAATATCGCCCGACTGTTTGTCAATAAGTGAGATAGTTTTGTCAGAGCCACAAGTAGCGATGAATGTCTGTGTCGGATCCAGACACAATCTGTTAATATTTCCATCCTCCGCTTCGGATCCTTTGATTGTACGCACGTGCTTTGAAGTCTCCGAATCATAAAACCTGAATAACAGTAACACAAATCTGTTAAAAACATGACATTTAAGACTGTCTTCAAATCGCTTTTTTCACTCTAGTATTTGCTTTAGCAAAAACGAATGTTTGCTTTTCCAAGTTTCGCAAGACAAGCAATTCACACACAAAAAAAAACATTTCATCGATTGGTTTTGCGTACCTAATATTTCGATCTTGGCAAGCTGTGGCGTACAGATTCTGTTCCGTGTCTAGAGTCAGGTCATAAAAAGTGGTCTTCTCAGCCACAATATGCTCTCTTGTAAGTTGCACATTTCCTCCATTTCCTATCGTCACATTTCGGAACACCAGAGACTTGTCCATTCCTCCACTGACCAATTGGATCGTCCCATTTCGGAGCTCGTGGATCTTCACTCCCGTAATGGAGCTAGAATGATCAGTCAAAGTTCGCACAAGGTCGTAGTTCTGATCAACTGAGAGAACATGCAGCACTCTGTCTCTGGAAGCTGTCGCCAGCATTGGAGGCTCAATGTAGCTGGCAGAGTACTCCAGAGAGAGCACTTCTGAGTCATGAGCCTCGAGAGTCAATAGCTCACCTAGCAAATAGAAAGGACTAATTAATCATAAGGTAAACTTTTTTAGAGCTAAAACAGTGATCAATTCTAATAATTACAGGGAATTTACAATTAAGAAATGTTTCAGTTTTTTTTTCGCTCTCTTTGGACCAAAATCACAATATATTTCATTAATTTTATCAGACTTTTTGCCCATCAAAGATTTATGTGCATTTGCACTCGAACATACCCTTGTGGAGCATGGCGGCATCATATATGCGCACATTGCCCATTCTGTCTCCAGCTGCGATATGAGTGCCCGAATCAGTCAGCGCCATACACCTAAAGCCCGCCTTCTTGTCATCTTGTTGTACATTGTCTGTAGGTAGCACCGCATAAGACCCGCTGTTGACGCTGTTCAACGGGAATCCCCCTCTGTCTTGTTGGTGTTTCGAGGCATCTATGTCCATCAAATGGTCAGTGTCTATATAAACTATGTCTAGTAACTCGTTGCTGTATACATTCGGCTCGTAGGTCGTTCCCGATAGGTTTATGTGTGGGTACAAGTTCCATACACGTAGTGTGTTGTCGTTACTGCAGGTAAGGAAGCTTCCAGGCGGCAAGGGTCCAGGTACCTCTAATTCTGGATACATCTAAACAAAATCAGGATTTTTCCTAAAGTAGCGACATCAAATAGTAAAACTCAAAGACCAGGATTATAGTTTTAACTTTAATTGATAAATGAAAATGAGTTTTTGAGCCAAGATTATTTCATTATATGTTGGCTATGTTGTAGTTTCTGTGCTCAAGTCTGTTTTTCAATCCAGATTAGATAGCTTTGATGAGTATATATCTTGGGTAATAAGTATATCTTAATGCATGCATGCCTTGGGACAAAAATGAAAGAGTTTGTTCGTGTAACTGACCTTGACATCTCTGACAGGTGCGGAGTGGAAGAGGAAGGAGGAGTACTTCCCTATTCTGTAGAGGTTGAAAACATCCCAAATGTAGAGACTGTGGTCACTGTAGCAAGCATACAGCTGAAACAACACACTCTGGCGGATCTAATCCTTTTATCGAATCTTTCATTGTTGACAGCAACGAAGTAAAACTTAATCCAACTATCGACACATCGAAACTTACAAGTAAAACCAACTTTATGTTTCAATAGAAAAACGACTTATCATTCAAATACTCAATCCAAGTAAATTTAAAAATCTTCAATTATATGTTGCAGTTGATTTGACAAAACACTTGATTGGCTCACCTTTTGGTTGCTCTCGTCCAGTTGCACAGCCACGCAGTCCGGATACCTGGCATCCTCCGGGTGGTCAGTGAGATGAGTGGGGTCAGTGCAAGCTGCCACCTGGACTCCCAGGAAGTGTGGCTTGGGAAACGTGGCTAGGTAGTCCAGAGACAGCACCTCGAACACTCTGATGCTCCCATTGGCACAGCCGCAGTAGATGTACTTCTTTCCCACGGCCAGACTGTACGCTGCAGACGTCTACAACACATCTCATATTTCATTCACTCCTGGTTCATGACGATCGGAACTCGATTTCATAACTAGCTTTTATCAACACAAATGATTCAAACTTTCGACCAAAACTACTCGGTGATATGTTGCAATAGGTGGTAATTTTGAGTAAAGTTCATGAATCAGATTTGAGAACTATTATGCATAATAGTCATTTCATTTTCAAACACTTGTACATGCTACTAAGATAGTTTTTGAAATACAGCAATCTGCCAGATGAAATGTTAGTTCTTTTGCCAAAAAAATGAGGCTTTTGAAATAAATTATAAATTATGTTCAAAGTATAACAAAGAGGGATCCAGCTATTTAATTTGAATCTGCCACATATTGTGATATATCACATAATCTCTAATTTAAACTGAAAGGAAGAAGCACAAAAAAATAACCAATATTCTGCTATAGAACCTGATATCAAAGGACATAGAACATGACAGTGACAGACAACTCTGGCCACAAACAGACGAGTGCGTGAATGATAAGATGTATGACTCACACTGAGGTCCACCCACTTGGTGAGGTTCCTCTTGGCGTTGAACTCACACAGAATGCCCTCTTTGGCCACTGTGAAGCAACTACCATTCTTCAGACCCTTTCCCGTGGACACATCACAGAAAGAAAGGGTCTTCTTCTCTCCCAACAGAGCCGCCTTGCCCTTCAGCGGCTCCACATTCAGGTTCTGCAAAGATAGAAATGAAGACATTTGGAAGAGACAGTTGGAAAAGAGTTATGAACGCAAGGAAACACAAACACGTTGTAGTCCTGACATGTTTTTTCCAACTGACATGGTTTTTCCAACTGACATGTTTTTTCCAACTGACATGTTTTTTCCAACTGACGAGTACTGACATGTTTCTTGAAAATTTTTTCGAATTTTAAAGAAAAAATATATGCCCCTTGAAGTTCGCGAACAATTTATCACTGGTGCTTTTTTGATAAAAAAAATTCCGTGATTTAAGAAAATTGTATCAATATGTAAAGTTTTTATTTCGCTGGGAAATCTGATAATTAAATGCTATTTTCGAAAATAGAAGTCGATCATGTTTTTCGTGACTTTTACATTTTTGCTGTTCGATAGTGTGCCTTCCTTAAGTTTAACAAAAGAAAAATAAAGTTAATTTAAAAAGAAATCAAACTAAAAATGAAATCAAATTTCGAATTTCCAAGCAAAAAATAGATTGCCCTAAAACTCGAGTTTCAAGAGCAAGTTATGATTGACACTTTTTTTGAAAAAACTAGACTAATAGGTAATTTTTCCGCTGGGAAATCTGAAAACTAATTTCATTTTTCGTAACTAAAGTCGATCACTTTTCCGTGACATTCACGCTTTTGCTGTTCAATAATGGAGTTTGCCTTCTATTATACAAAGGAAATGATCTGAACTTATAAAACAAAAATCAAACCACAAAAAAATCAAACATTAGCCTTCATTTCAAAAGTAATTTGAATTTTCCAACTTCTCAGCTCTCGAAAAGGAGGTTCATTCGTTTTTGACATCTCAATGCTGAAAATAATTTTGAAACTCCCACCGATAAACTTACAGGAATATTCACCCATAGAGCCCCATGCCAAATTCAAAAGAACCAAGTTTTCACTAGTGGGAAAATCTTACTCACACTTGTTCGGAGTTTGGATGCAAATTGGCCATACTAGGAACGCAGAACAAAAAACAAGTTCTATCATCTGGAAAAAAATTCATGCTTAATCTAAATTCCAGGCTGGTCATTAAGTATTTGATAGTAACTTCTTATGCAAAAAAAACATCAAATTATCATTCAGCGCATAGTCAAGATTTGCACTTTTTTTACGACTTCAAATCAGCATTCCTGCTTCCTTTCTACCCAGTCACAAAGCCTGCAACTCCTAATGATGCAATTCAATCCTCTCTTAAAATTAACAGCGGGCATAAACTTGAGGGAAATATTCTTTTGATGACTTTGGACCGTAACGCGACCCAGAATCCTCAATACGCAGCTAGGCTACATCTACATGAAATGTATTTTACTAGGTGGCCTGAATTGTATAATGCTGCGGTTATTTGGCGTATGCTTGAAATGAAGATGTTACCTTTGATGACTTTTCGATGTACCAGAAGCGTACGTGTCTGACGCCACATGTGACGAACCACTTCCCATCCTCCGAGAAAGACACAGTTTGCACTTTGGCCGACACTTTGTTAGAGGCCACCTTCAGTCCACTCTGAACACAACGCATGCATGAACAAATTAAAACTCATCGCCCATTGCGACAGTATTGCATAGTTACAAAAAGAAAATTGCGAACCCACAAGCACCTCATGCGTCTTTTAAACATTTTTTCCTGTTCTGAGGAGCCTTTTAATCCTTTTCGCACGCAAAATCAGGTACCACAACACAAATAAACGTCACATGAGTTGGAGTGACGTATCATATTAAAAACCTGTATAGTGTTAATTATCCCCCTTTTGCAAAAGTTGGATTCATTTCAAGGGATAGCAACAACAAGATCCAAATACCTATGTCAGACTTCTCTCAATATTTGAAAAATATATTTGATAGATTTTTACGCAATTATTGAGACACTGAAAATATAGCCATACATGTAATACATTTTTGCATCAGGACATCAAGGAGGTTGCCCTTTGCTGAACTAAGCAGGACTCTATTGGTTCACTTGAGCATGTAGGCAGCTCCCAGTGTTGTCAAATTCATCACAACAGCCAAACAGCAACCAGACGTCAAAACGATACACTTCATTTGACCAGAAAAAAAAAACAGCTCAAAATAATGCGTGCTAGCAAATTCTTCACATTGAAAAGTGTAACAAACGCCTTCTATGGTATTTTTAACTTGTCTCAAAGACACTAAATCTATGGCATTTAAGACTGATCTTTTAATCCCACCATTTTAGCAACTAATGGTTTAGGGGAAAAATCAGATTTGAATGTGCAGAAAAGAAAGCATGAAATATTTTGGCGCATTCGTTTCCTATTGAGAATTAATTGAATAGAAACACCATTTCACCACGCTTTGTTTACGCTCGTGTGAAAAAGGATGTCAAAGGACAGCACATGCTTTTAGTCGCAGTCTTTACAAGAGAAACGTATTCAATGAATGTGAAAATGCGATTCCAAGTCGACCTTTATATGATAGGAAACCAAAACGATTAAACCGACTTATTTGTCATATTTGATGTTCGGTTTGTTCACCGACTATCAGATGGCAGAACTTATTGACTTGATCTGTTTGAATAAACTGACCATCATTAAAGGAATTTATCAGGTCAAATCGAAAGGACTAAACATCATGTAATTCAACTTCTTTCTTTAAAACATTTTTCTTTCAAACTTATGAAAACTAATTATGTAATGAAAATATATATCAACTACATAAATAAAAAGTAAGTTCAAAACATGCAGATTCATCAGCGATATGCGTGGAAGACACATTGTTTCAAGATCAACGAGGTCCAAAAAAGAAATATAGCCAGCGTAGTGTTGGAAAAACAATCTTGTTTTCTTAGTCTTATTGTAGAAGGAGAACAAATTAGAAATACTTATGATTGACACACTTTCATTTTCATAAAATTTTATCAATAGTTTTCTTCCGTATGTAATTCCAAAATTGATTCCTCTTTTGAATATCGATATTTCGCTGGAACGCAAAAAAAACGCAAGAAATAACAAATTGAAGGTCAACTACTTGCCCATTATAATTCATACTATTTGAACGATCATCGTTAGTTACCAAGAGTGTCATGAATTCGTGTAGACTTTTCCCCAAATTTATTTTGTTTCTCCTCTTCTAATTTCACAGTCGTTGGGGAGGGGGAGGGGGAGAGACTAACCCGCCAATTCCACACATTGATCTCTTGGTCATGCTGATTCCCCACTGACACCAACATGGAACTGTGAGGGGCGAATGCGACGATGGGGATCCCGAACGAGTGTCCATGTAGCTCTGCCACTTGCACCCCACACCCGTGCTCACTCACCGCATTGGGCTCTATGTTCCACACTCTCACCGCCGGCTGGTGGCCAGCCTAAACAATAATATAACTAATTAACAGTTGGAAAAGAGTAACGAAAATAAACCAAAACTTCAATTTTCGAAAAAAAAACACATGCCCTCAAAGCTCTTAAATTTCCAGACGATTTAATAATTGACACTTTTTTGACACAGAGGCGAAGCTGAGCTTCGCACCACTTGCGATACAAACATAGCAGACTGACAGTTGGAAAAGAGAAATGAACGCAAAGAAACAGAAAAAAATGACTTGTTTTATAAAAAAACTTCAACCTTCGAAGAAAAAAACAGATGGCCTTAAACCTCTTTGAATTTCTAGAACAATTTATTATTGACAACTTTCTCATGAAATTAACCCAATTTGAGAAAATAAGTAAAGATAATATTTCGCTGCGAAATCTGATAATTAAATTCGACTTTCGAAACTAGAAGTCGATCACGTTTTTTGAGACCTTTGCACTATTACTGCTCAGTGCGATCACGTTTTTCGCGAATTTTACACTTTTGCTGTTTTTTTTAAAGTTCAGATTATTTCCATAGTTAAAAGAAAGAGGAGTTTGCATTCCTATTAACAATGGCAATGCATTGCACTTAAAATGAATCACAAGTCAAAAAATCAAAATTAGGAGTGAAAAATAAGTTTTTCTTAAAAAATAAACTTTTTATTCTGCTGAGAACTCGGAAAACTTAAGTCCATTAAAAAAACTTACGGTAAATCACGTTTTTTGTCACTTTTTCAATATTAGAATATTATTGTTCGTTAGTGGAGTTTGCTTCGTTACAGCTGAACGATGTCCGCCTACGATGTAACTTTGAAAACTTTTTGAAAAAACCACAAAAAACGTGATATCTCAAAAACTACAAAGATTTGAACAGTCATATTTGGAGGCAAGATTTGCAACACCTTAGAAAACCCTGACACCACCCAACTACAGAGTTGGGAATTTCAGCTTTTGCGAAAAAAAATAATACAACTTTTCTGAAAATTTTTTGAAAAATCACAAAAAACGCCATATCTCGAAAACTCTAAGGATTTGAGCAGTCAAAACTGGAGGCAAGATTCGCAATCCTTAGTAGTACTCTGACAGTACCCAACTACAGGGTTGGGAATAAAAAAAATTAATTTATGTTTTCTAAAAAAAATTCAAAAAATCGTCATATTTCGAAAACTACAAAGAATTGGGCAGTCATAATTGGAGGCAAGATTCGCAATCCTTATTAGTACTGACAGTGCCCAACTACAGGGTTGGGAACTTCAAGTTTTTTAAATTATTTTTTTTGAGTTTTCTTGAAAATTTTTGAAAAATTACCAAAATCGTCTTATCCGTTAACTGAAAAAAAGTTTGCAACCCCTTGGTGAATCCGGACAGCATCTTAATATTGGGCTGCTTATTTTAAACTAGGTGAAATAACCACTAAAATCAAACGGGAAAATCGAAAAAAAATCTTAACCATTGCAATAAATGATATAGCTTAAACATGCAAAAATAATACGTTGAAAAAGCTTAAACATGGCGAGATAGTGAAGCCCGTATTCAAATATATATGTATAATAGATAGATAATAGATTTTGATACGAAAGTATTCAATCCCCTTGCCAAAAAGTGCCCCACAACTACGAAAGTGTGTTAAAGTTATCATGAAAATCTGAAAAATCTCAAATATGAACAAAGAATCATCCAAGTTGAGAATGCGACTTTCATTCCATTAATTTTTGCACGCACTAGTGGAACGGTACCTTTTGTCACCGAAGTAATTAAAAGAATTGCCTCTAAATTAGGCGCCAAAAGAAAAGCCTCCTAAGTAGATCAAGTAGCACTCTTAAAAAGTACAATTTCATGTATCAGAGGATCGCGATCCCTAAAATCAAAATCTTATTAATCATCAATAAGTACAGTGGTCGAGGAGGGGAGGCTGTGATGACGCAGGCTATCCCCGCCTCAAACAAACATGTAGCTGAAAAACAAACTCAACTCCTTCGCTATCCGATAAAAAAACATTCTTTTGCATAAGCTTATTTTAATTATGTGGAAGCACATCTCTTATTTTGCAGATGTACATTTAATATATTTCTATAAACTGACATTGGTTTTGCCTATTTGTTTTTATCTTACTGAGGCTAATTTATCATTTTGTCCATGGGGGTGTTTTGACATGCGTTTACATTTACTGTGATCTTTTATTTTGAATATCTATTTTGATTTCTGAACTCAAGATTTTGTTTTTTTTTTAAAAAACATAGACTTTTAGTTCAAGAAACATGAAGAAAATCATTCGAAATGAAACTGATTAACGTAAAAGCAATAAGCGCAATACAATCGTCAGTATCGCGCAATATAATCGAAAAAAAAATTAAATGAAAGAACAGCCAGCTTTGCTCGCAAAAATCCCTTTACAATAAAAAATATCATGCAACTAGATCAAAACAAAAATATGTTTCGCAGAATCTATATTCAATTAAAATATGATCGATGAGTCAAATGCTCTAAAGGTAGAAAATAGCAACTTTAAATGCATGATAGAAATTTCGCTTAAGTAAAACGAAGATAGAAACGCACTAAATTTTTCATGGGCTCATTTAAATCACCCAAAAGATACCTAAACAATCTGAAAAACTCAGTTGTAAATTTTCTTGGGGCAAAAACATGAAGTTCCGCCTGCAAACTCACCTTTGTAAACTTCACGTCTTTTGCGATACAGAAAGAGATAAATCATCATATTGCTAACTTTTGTTCAATTGCATTTGGTCCATTTTGTGATGCAAGATCCTAATACGTGGTTTTCCGCATTCCTGATTGATAACCGTTTTCAATAGTTATACATGCTCGGATTCAAAGTGAGATACTACCCATCAGACTTGAACTTAACGAAAACACATATCTTTGAAATGCTCCGACATACGCAATGAATAAACGTCGCACCATTTTTCTGGCCCGCAATTTAATTTTCTTGCACTTTTAAACTGCGCATTGCTGGTGAAAACGTCCAACTTTGGACTTACTTCTCCAGTGGCAATGTGAGATCCATCGTACAAAAAGTCCACTGATGACAACGTCTTTCTGCAAGTGTTGACAATATGAGTCTGTCTGTTGGTTTTGCTGTTTAAGATAACCACGACACTCCTAAAAACAAAGGAAATAAATATGAACTTTAAGCACACTCGGTAACAAAAAATCATGGCAACAAAACTAAAACTCACCCAGCTAAATAAGCACATTGATGAGTTGGCTCGTGAACAACGATGTGGCTGCTGCATTTCACTGTCAAACCCAAAACCTTCTCAAGGCATACCTAAAAACCAAGCCGGTTATCATACTTTGTGGAAATAATTGAGTCAAAAATTTGGGACAGTTACTTTGTCAGACAGTCTATTTGTCAACTTCGACGTGCTCCTTTCCTTGAGTTTTTTCAGGGAGGACTGCTTCTTAATATACTTTGTGGTGTTAAAATCCTGCGACATCTGAGAGTCATTAAAATGCTTTCATTTAATCTGAAACAGGGACGATCTCTAGAATCCAATTATCTAGCTGTAAGAAAGCATACAGCTAGATCCACCACGAGATGGCTCGACAAGTCAGGCAAACCGATACAAGATCACCCCGAATTACCAAAAGAGCCTCCAGAGAAAACAATATTGAAGAAGACCCGTGGGATGCCGATAGGGATAATGCTCAAGTCAAAAATTGTGAGAGAGACACTCAAGGCGAAGGGCTATGATCTCAACCAGGTCGAAACTGGAGAAGCACAGATAGATGAGGACTTGATGAGATTACTCGAGAAACTGGCAGATGATAAACCCGTGATCGAAGGAAAGGGCAAGGGGGAACCGGAAGTCACGATACTGCGAAGGAGCGAGACAGTCGGCGGCGAAAACTCCTTAGGAGAGAGTAATCCTGATGGGAAAGAAATCGTGCAGTCACTGGTTGACAAAATCCCTGATGACATACTTGAGCGGACTCGGGTTAGGAATAACCTCTCCAAATGGATCCGGACGGGGTCCAAAGAGAAGGGGGACCTGGAAGAAGACAGCTACAAGATCTTGAGCCAGTTCTACAAAGAAAGAAAAGATTTACTCTATCACACAGTTACATCAGACCGAAGTGTTATTCAGATCGCACGATCAAATGGGGCACCAGGGGATAGACAAGGTGCAACAGAGAATACTTCACAGGTTTGATTGGCCAGGATTACGGAAAGCCTGTGAGAGATGGGTGTGTAACATTCGCCCAAATATCACACAGCGACGGAGCGTAGAAAAAGTACCTATTGACGACTGGCAGGCGTCAGTTACCTTAATTCCACTCGTTTTTCACCGTCTCGACCTTGCCAGTTGATTTTCTGGTCTGTCTAGGGCAAAGTAAAAAGTTACTATTTTTAGGCCATCAGTCAAACGACTTTTGATCAGCTTTCGTTTGCATGCGAACACAACCACATAGCTGAGTCTCGGATCCTCAGACTACGTGATTGTCATTAAAAACACGGCTCGAACCACCTATTTCTATATGTTTTTGTGTGACAGTTTTATATTAAATCCATTGGAGATGGATTGACCCTTTCCTTTCTCTATCTACTCATACTCTGAAATATCAAATAATATCGGTGTTTAATTAATATCTAGGACATTCCAGCAACTGTTATAGCTAGTTTACACAGTCCCTTCACATATAACAGTCTCTGGGGGACCAAGCCTCCGCTCCCGTGATTTTCTTGAGATAACACTCTTATCTCCTATATTTCGTGTCCCGGGAGGGTTCCGTGGTATTTCTCTTCCCCCCACTGAAGCCTCCGTCTCCACAAATATCCGTCACTAAGGTCCTTATCGTGTGTTATTGCCACGATAAGAGGCTCCGTAATTTTCTCGTCTCGGATACAACCGTTCGTCACAAAATATGGCGTCGTTCTGATTTTTCTCTATTTTATTCAAAATGGCCGTCTTTTTTCTATTTCTCAGAAATGTTCTCCTTCAAATCGAAATTTTAAAAATAAAAATTCCAGAACATTCTGACCCTCCGTCGCAACACTTTTCTGTTCGTAAGGCCTTTAGTCACTTTTTTTTCCGTCGCGGGAAGGTTATGCTGTGTCATCTGGCGGAATGGCACATACTCCCCGGACAAGTCTCCATCAATGTCCCTATTGATCGCACAACACCGGGTTATCGTCAAGTAGGTATCCAGTTTTCTGTAACCAATCTTACAAATCGCATAAGAGAATGAAATTTATCTACTCCACCTCAACTCACTACGTGTTCACAAATGGCATCGTACTACACCTCACTGCCTTTCAACATTTTCACAAAATTTGCACCATGAGGAGTGTCCTAGATAAAATTTCTTTTCTGACTACTTACGTCATCTTGCCATAAAACTTCTTTTCGCTTCTGATTAAAAAGTGGGACGTGGCACGGCCACGCACCCGTTAAAATTAACTTAACTTCACTCACCAAGTATAATTAGTCATTTATGCGGTCCTTTCAATATTAAAACTAAGAAACTCTGTGGCTAGGAAAGTTATTGAGTTACCCACCCTTCTCGAGCGAGTTTACTCAAACTTACCATGTCGCCACACAGTGAATTTGTGTCTTACACAGGTTAAAAACTTCAGTCGGGAATAAATAGGTAAATATACTCACCTATGCTCCTTATATACATACATAGATAGTAGTAACTAAAATCAACAATCTCAACAATTTTAACAATTGCAACAATTTTCAAAGTTTGGTCTGACCAAACTAAATCAAAACAAAAAGTTTCACCAGTTCAATAATCAAAACTTGGTTGATTGGTTTAAGTTTTAGCACACAAATACAATCAAGTTTTTCTCTCCTTCTCTTCTCTTCTTTGGTCATCTTCACTCCATCATTTCTCCATCCTGATGTTCAGCGTCACTGTCTTCCAGAACTTTCTCTAACATGTCCAGAGAGTTGCGGGCCGTGCCCCAACCCTCCTGTTCCAACAGCCTCGGTTTGCAACAAGGTAGCAAGTCCACATTCACCTTCTGCTCCCGGTTCCTGCAAAAGCTGTTGTGAAGACACAGGCTCACGTTTCGTTCTAGGTCAGCTCTTAAGACCTCTTTCTTTTCATCTTCAGTAACACAAGGCGCTCCAGCTACTCGCTTCACCGCAGTGGTGACCGCGTTTCTATGCGTCAGGAAAGCTCTCTTATAGGCTCCTGGTCCTATGTCTAGCTGGAAAGATTGATAGGCTTCCGTGTTCCTTGACATGTGACGCTTCGCGCGTTCATACATCCAAGATGTCATCACTGCACGGAACCAAGGCATCAATCTTTGCCTTGACCATATTCTTTCAATGGCTTTAGGTATTCTCAGAACCTTGCAAGTGGTTCTGAAAAGATCCAATTCACTACTCATTTTCACGTTGCTCAGCTGTTCAGGAGTCGGCACGGCCGTCTCCTGCTCATCTGTGTCCGCATAAGCCTCCAACCATCTCACTGCTAGCATGGCGCTAACCACCACGATTGACACTGGTTGATTCTGATCGGGCAACCCCGTGGAGTACAACTCCTCCACGTCCCAAATTAGGATCAGGTTCCCTCGTTTGGGGTACCACAACGTCTGCGCTAAGCAGTGGCAAGGATATTCCCCGTGGGTTCTCACTATGTTCCTTCGGGTTCGATACCCTGAGGCTCCCAGCAACGGTTCCACTTCCATCAGGATTCTATGTAGATCGTCTTTCTCTTCTATGGTGGGGAATTCAGTGGGTAACGCTCCACTCGCTTTCTGCTTCTGGAACTCACTCACGTTGCCTTCGTTCAGCATCATGAACTCTTCACCCACAACGTCTTGCAACCCGCCTTCGGATCTCTTCGGGACTGCCCGAAAGATCTTTGCCAACAAGTCATATGACCTCTCTGACATTCTGGCCAACCTCACGCACTTTGGCACAGAGAAAAGCTGGTCAACCAACACCTGTTGCGTCCTCGCATCCATCACCACCATGTGCGTAGGATACTTGCTATTGCAGTATGGCGCAGAGCTTGAACCCACCATATATTTTGAACCAGTAGGTCTGTGATAGGCTTCACTATCCCTCAGATTCATTTCATTTTCTAGGGCTTCTCGCCAGCCTCCAATCTTTTGCTCTGTCTGTAATGCTCCAGGGAATATTTCCACGCTGAGGGACGTCACTAGCTCATGGGCACGCTCCAAGCGCTCGAGCGATTCTATCGAACTCGTCATGCTGCAAAATCCCAAGGCTGTGATCAGGTTTACGTCCGTCACCCCATGGCAGTCTGCGACCAATTCCATGGCACTCTTATCTGACATGCTTAATCTTCCATACAATCGTGCCAGTTGTCGATGCTGCTCGCTCAGCGTAATCAGGCAGTGTCCCATGTTACAAACATGTCCTTCCATCCCACTGTGTTGAGCCAAGCATGTGCCTTGCTTCAACCAATTACTCGATGTACCTTCCTCGGACAGCTCCGTGGACTGGTTGCTCTTCTTCTTCGTCAATCTCATGGCCAGCAGGTGTTGTATCATGGCCAGATCATGTAGACTCGCATCATCATCCCGGTCTAACATGATATCCGCGGTCATGTCCCAGATTAAGCCTGCGTTAGGATGGGGACACCAGGAAGGTTTCATGAGTTCCCACATCACTACTAGACTGGTTTTCAAGGGACCGTCCCAAGAACCACAATCAAAACTCACTTGCCCTTTTAGCTCGGGAATCGAGGGTTCGACTACTCGTTCCTCCAAAATAATTCCCAGCTTGGGTTGTTCCACCATCAACATTCCAATTTCCTTAATCCGTTCAACCCAGAAGTTGAGCACTGTGACTTGCTCGTAGTCGAAGTATGCTTCCCTGGCTTCTTCGTTCACGAAGGGATTATACGCCATCCCTGGTATACCAGACACGTATTGGAACGACTTCAGTTTCCCTAGTGTTGCAAACTCCTTTTGTCCTCTGGCCGCTTCAATCAAGTCTCTGCTCACTCTCAATTCTTTGTTGGAGTATCTTCTCACCTCTTCCAACTTGCGATAGCTTTCCATATCATTCGACTCCTTGCTTGGCACGGTCAATGGCATGTCCTGATATAGCTCTAGGAGTGCCCTAAGGAAGTTCCTTTCGCAATCAACTCCCTTTTGCCGAATGATCTTTATACATTCTCCCAACACAGGAGTGGGGATGCGATCCACCACAAACCTGACAAAGCAAAGGGCATCCTTCCGTTTAGCCCATGCTATCGCTGAATCGTCTTTTGAGATCAATGTCCGTAAAGCTTCCATCAATTCTAGCTCCTGTTCTCGTGATTTCGAGTCGTTGCTGGCTTCATACTCCGCCCTTTTGATGCCCATCAAGCACCAAGCCAGTCGTACTTGCAGATCAGTTCTCACGCAAGGATGAGCCAGGTATGCTGCTACAGTCGCAGGTGCATTCATCGTCTCATCAAAGTATTTCTGGAGGGCCGCCCTCCAAGAAATCTCTAGCAACTTTTCTAATCCAATTTCGTTCGCTTCTGATGACATTAC